CTCTGGACTCACTCCAGCAGCTCCATGTCCTTCTTGTGTTGGAGACCCCAGAGCTGAACACGGTATTCCAGGTGGGGTCTCACGAGAGCAGAGTAGAGGGGCAAAACCATCTCCCTTGACCTGCTGCCTGGCTGCCCTCGGCTGCAGCAGAAGCGGGGCCAGGAGCTGCTGGCACACAGCTTCTGTGCCTCGCAGGCATCTGGGGACCACTCAGGATGCTAAACAGAAGAGGAAAATCAGCCCTGGGGTCGTGCATCAGCCCCGCACGTCTGTTTCAGGGCTGGCATCTCCCTTGCAAAGGGATGAACCCTGTGGGGGTCTCCATCATGTCCCAAAACCCAGGGCGGGTAGCAGGCAAAGGTAGGAGCAGGGTCCCGGAGGCTGGTGCATGGTGGCAGCACATCCCCCCACCCCAGAAAGGGGAAGCGGCACCCAGTTGGGCGTACAGCTGGTTTCCAGTAACACGGGTCCCAGGTGCGGTCACCCATGATGGAAAACGAACAGTCACCCTGTGCCTCGGACCACTGTGGTGCAGATTCTGTAGATGCATGGGTTTAATTTAGAGGAAAATTAGCAAAAAGCTACGATACGGGGCAGGTCACGCGCGGCCCCAGCGCTCGCCCTCAGTGCTCTTCCTTGGGCCCGCTGGAGCTCTGCACGGAGCGATAAAACAAGCCAAAACCCCTGAGATCTGCAGGAGTTTCACAAACTTACTAGACAAGGACTTCAGTGGTGGTCATCAGGGCTGACGCACAGCATTTTGGCCTCTTTCCCACTACGCTTCCTGCTTTTGAGGAAATTTCCCCTTCTTTCCAGGAACTTCTCTCTCCCTACTGTTTACTAGAAACCCCTGCATGGTTTTCCAGGACATTGTCCTTTGTTTTCCAGGAAACCTTCCTTCCTAAGAAATTCCCTTATCCCTTTCCAGGAAATGTCCCTGCCACTTTGCAGGATATTTCCCTCCCCCTGCTTTTCAGGAAATTCCTCCCCTGCTTCCTGGGAAATTTCCTTGTTGCTTTCTAGAGTCCCCCATTGCTTTACAGGAGTTTTCTCTCTGCTTAGAGGACTCCTATTGCTTTCTAGGAAATTTCCCCATGACTGTTGGTCCCTGGGAAGCAAGAAATTATTTCCCAAGAAATCTCATGCTTCCTGTCCAGGAAATTTCTCTTTTGATTTCTAGCAATACCTCCTTTGCTTTCTGGGAAACTTCCACTCTAGAAAACAGTTACTTTCTTAAAAAAAATGTTACTTTTGCTTTTCAGGAATTTCCTTGATATTTGAGGAAATTTCCTCCTTGCTTTCTAGGAATTTTCCTCCTTTGGTTTCTAGGCTATCCCCCTTATGGCCTTCTAGGAAGTTCCTCCATTGCTTTCTACGAATTTCCAGAATATTTCCCCCTTTACTTTCATGGAAATTCCTACATTGTCTTGCAGCAAATTTCCCCTTTGTTTTCCAGGATATATTACTGTAGCTTTCAAGGATGGTTTCCCTTTGTTTTCCAGAATTCCCCTCTTGGTTTCCAGGAAATCTTCCTTTTGCTTTGTAGGAATTTTCCCCCAGGGCTTTTGGAAATTTCTTCATTGTGTTCCAGAAAATTCCACCAGCCGAAACTCACCCACCTGCCTGAACCCCTGCCAGGGGCATATGGCACCTCCACCAAAGTGTATTTAAGGGCAGGAAACACCACAAAATCCAAACAAACTGGAGCCACAAGAGCCATGGACAGGGCTGCCACGGGACAAGGTCTGACTGAAAAGGGCCTGGGGTTGGTGGAGGACCCTATGCCAGAGGGACTGGGTAGGACACACAAGGAGTTGACCCCATGCCAGCTGTTGTCCTCCTGCCCTGGGAACACGTGCCACCCACAGGGAGGAGAGTTGAGGTGTGTTTCTCTAAGTGTGTTTATTTACTTTCTATGCCTCAATACTGCAATCAATGCTCAGAGGTTTCTGTTAGTCGGTGACTTATTAAGTTGATGGGAATTCTCTCACTTTAAACTCTTTTTTTTTGGCCAGTGGCACCCTGCCTGCCTAGAGGGCTCCCGTGAGGCCATGGTCACTACCTCTTGCTGCCTTCCCATGTCCTCCCAACTCAGGGACATGTCCATGCAGCTAAAAATCAGGCCCATTCAAGTTATCAGCTCCAACACGTTAAAAGAAGAGCTGGAGATTTCAGGAGTAAGAGTCAGTTTTACAAAGAGGTTTTTAAAAGCATCCAAAAGGACAAGGAGAGCTTTATCTGAACCTCAGCCCTTCACTGCACTGAATTTTCCTCCAAATGTAACCCCACAATACAAACCTGCACCCCACATGCCCCCCTGCAGCTGCAAGTTGCCCAGCTTCAGGAGGCAATCCTTGCAGGCAGAAGGACAAGCAGAAATCCCACTACTTTTATTAGCAAGGTTTCTTCTAGGGACTCTCCTTGTAAAGCACAAAGCAGCAAGGAACAGGGAATCTTAAAAAAAAAAAAAGAAAAAAAAAAAAAGAAAGAATCTTTCTCTTTTAATCCACCCAAGGGAAATCCAGAGCAAGAGTGGCATCACAGCACTACACACAGCACAGACACCTATCATCATCTTTGCACAGATTCTGTCCCAGATACACGGAGAAGTCATTAAGAAAAACAGAAAAATAAAGAAAATTATTCACATATGCAAAGTGACAAGTAACAAATCAGCCACAGAACAACTTTTTTCAAGAGAAAAAGGACATATCAAGGAAGAAGGCCCTCAACATACAGGTTTTGTGAAAACCTAACCCAAGAATGCTGAAACAGAAGTTGTTTTCTTTTAAACGTTAAAAAGAGGGTTTTTTTTTAAATTAATTTAAATATACATTTGAAACACAAACACCAACCAAGCGCCTGGAGAACAAAGCAAAAAGAAGGAGGAATGAAAAGTGAATTTGACCAGTTTAATTTAAACACCAAAGTTGGGTAGATTGCACCAAACGGAATAAATAATGGAGAAGACCACACTGGGTTCGTAGATCTCACACTTAAGATCATTTAAACTAGAACTAATTACACAGCCCAAGAGAGCACTGCCCGAGAAAGTCCTCTGACAGGCGATGTTAGCTGGGGCAGGGTCCCTTTGACACAGCGGGTTGTAGGTGTGGATTTGCCCCCTGCCACCCCACAACGATCACCGCCCCAGAAGCGAGCATGACGATGAGGTTTTGTGAGTGAGAGGACTTGACCCCATAACCTTATACACGCAAACAGCAACTTGCTCAGGGTGTGGGAACCCTCCACCTCTTCGACACCAGCTGCCTCCAAACACACCGAAGTCAACACCAAAGCACAGCTAGACCCTGCGTTTTCACCCTGCAAGGTGAGCACACACGCATGGTGTTTCTAGCGTGGCTCCCTGAGCTCGAGCACCGCAGAAGCAGAGCAGGTGCCTCCTTTCACATACCTGGTGCCAGGCTGGAAAAAAAAAAATAATCGGCTAATCTACACCTGCAGCCACCGCTTTATCACCACAGGGGTGGGCAGGCTGAAGGAATGTAGGCGGTTTCCTGTTGTTTGGTTTTCTCTCCCCACAACCCCTGCATTAAAATGAAAAAAAAAACACCCAAAAAAAACACCCTGAACAAAAATAGCTTGATCCCAAGTTCCTCTCCCCTCCTCTGCCTGTAGCCAAGCAGTGAAGCACCTTCGGACATTTGTGTGATCCCACAGACGTGTTCCCTACAGAGCAGATATCTCATCTCTGCACCTCACTCAGATGTGCTGTGACACCTAATTAGGAGAGATATCCCTTTGCTTTAAAACAAAAATCATTACAAAATCAATAATAATGATCTGCTTTCCCTTCCTCTGATCTCCAAGAAGTTCATCTAAGTCCAACTCATCTTCAAGAAAGGGAGAAGGGAGGGGTGAAGGTTTCCAGGCCAAAGAACTTGGCAGATCCAGCATCCCCCCTGCTGTGCTTCCAGCGGTGATGAGATGAGCCCCCTTTGCGCAGTGCCTGCTCTCCACCCAGGGCCAGCAGAGCCAAGGAGGGGCTGAGGGGACACAGCTGCCCCTCCAGCTCCTCCTCAGATAACTGGCAACTCCAGGAAGAAAGAGGGGGACTGAAGCGGATGAGGGTTCGGGCTATTTCCTTCCCATCCCTCTTCCTCCTCAAGGCTGGGAGGAGACTTCTGTGTCTGCAAGCCCAGTCTGTGCTTACCGGTGTCCTTAAGAATGACAATTTAAAAACAACCAAAAAAAGGAAAAGGGGAAAAAAAAAAAAGAAGATATGCATAATTAGGTATTGTCCGTGGAAGGAGTGGGAGGGGGCAGGTTCCAGACCGAGACAGAAAAGGGACTCTCTCCCTCTCCGCGTTTGCTTGTCCGGAGACCGCGTCCCCTCGGCGTCCCTGCGCGAACCCTTTGTGCTGTTGCTCTGACACCAATCGACACGGCTGACGAACACAGGGATGAATTCAGCGCTGCAGAGGGCAGGAGGGCACACGCAGGCACGCCGGGGCTAGGCCTGGCGCCGGGGGAGCATGCCCAGCAGGAACTCCGCAATGCCAATGAAGTAGACGACTTGTGCGATGCCGAAGAGAGGAGCAATGACCAGGGCGCGGCAGTATGCCCCTTTCAGGAAGGCCATGGGCCCTTCCTTCTGCCAGATCTTCCTGCAGAGAAACGGCACAGACAGGTAAGCGCCCATCCCACCCCTCCACCGAGCCAGGATTGCCTCTGGCCATGCCTTGGCTTTCTGCCGCCCTCCAGGGATGAACCCAGGCAAGCGCTGTCGCCTGACACTGCCTCCGCAGCAGATCCCTCACCAAATGGCCAGGCAGGGACATTCCCCATCCCTACATCTGGCCAGGCGCAGAAGCATCTGCCTGGGTCTGGATATACAGCTCAGGCAGCTCCGTGCTTGCATTAAGAGGTGCCCCTGTTCAACATCTGGGGCCAACTCCACCCTCAGTATGGGACACAGCCAGAGGGCAAGCGACTGGCTACAATGGCAACACAGAAACAGAGAACTTGTGTTTTGAAACTGCCTTCACGTTTTGAAGCAGCCAGACCACAGCTCAGCAAAGGGTCAGAGGAGAGCGCGGCTGGGGAGAGCCCACTCAGACAGTGCTCCTGCAGCTGCTCCTCAGAGCGGTCCTGGGAGGGACAGGAGACTTAATGCTGCAGGATTTTCAGACAACAGGGCCTTGGGAGAGACAACCACAGCACTGCCTCCCTTTGCAGAAATAAAATCTCAGTGTTATGACTGTTGGGGTTTGGACAGAAGCGTTTCTACTTAAATGCTATATTTACCTTGCTCAAAATACGAAGAAGTTCTCTTTTATATAACTATGTATATGAACAGTATATATCTACGTATCTATCCATATAGACAGATAGATAAAAGCACAGGTTCAGAGGGAACCTGAAACAGAGAAGCTGCTGGTTGGGTCTAGAAGCTGCACTGACTGCCTGGCAGCGGGCAGCAGCAGATGCCATACATCAGACGTGGTGGCCTGCTTCACAAGGAGTCTTACTTGGTGCAGTCCAGGATTCCTGAGTAGGTGTCCTCGTTCACTCCTCTCTGCAAGGACTGCAGCCGTGTTTTGATCACTGGGGAGAAGTAGAGAAGAAAGACAATGGTGAGCACTGGGAACGTAGCAGGCTCTTCAGCAGGCAAGAGCCACCCTGAGAGTAATGTCTTTGAAACACAGTCAAAAAGAGATCACCAAGAACACAGACCATTTTCATATATTTATCAGCAAAACAGGGGAAAACAAACCCACTACAAATGGATAAAAGAAAAAGACAGCCACCCAGAAACCAACCCTCTCCCCTCACTGTGACCAATTAAGCTTGAAACACTTCCAAATTCAGATATCTTTCTGCAAAGTGGGAACTGATTTTCCCAATACTCAGCTCCTTCTGGAAGAAGTATCTAAAATATATGATGCTGCTCTTACATTTCTTCACACCTTGGAGCATGTGCAATGTTGGGGAAGAGGAGTTCCTTTCTGTTTTTCACAGCAGAGAAACAGAGGTGGTATTTAAAGTAGATGCTGTGGAGCAGGAGAAAAGGCCATAGACCTGAGGCTCCCCCTGGCTGTCCATGACCGTATGCACGTAAATGATCTGCATACTATCACTCCACATGGAAATATGCCTTTCCGGGGGCAGGTTCGCAGCCATTCCTGCGAAGAATGACTAAAACAAATGACACCCTCTTCCTGACTTACCTAGCCACTGCAAACCTTTGCATAAGCTGTGGCCAAAAGGTATTGCACAGCTGAAAGAAACATCATCTAAGCTGGAGGCAGCTCAGACAGCAGAGCTCCCCTCCTGCATGCTCACGCTGCAAAGAGGCTGGCACGGTCACCCTCCTCCTCACCTAGCCCACTCATGGGCCTCTGACTCCTGTCGCTTATTACCAGGTCACTAGCACAAGGACTCACCGTCGCAAGGATTGACAGCCACTGCAGCCGTACTGCCAGCCACACATCCAGAGAGGAAGGACACATAGAATGGAGCCTTGACATTGGGGTCTTTCTGGCCCAGCTTGTTCAGGTTTGCAAACAGTGGGAAGTAAACAATAGAGAATGGGACATCCCTGTGGTGGGGAGAGAGGACAGGGAAGAAAGAATAAAGATGAGTGAAGTCAGAGCAGGACACTAAAAAACTGAGCATGAAAGGAAGGGCTGCAAGCACCACGTGTTGGCAGCACAGCCATGAGTGCAACGCAGACATCCCCGCTCTGAGATTGCAATGCAGACAGGAGCCAAAACTCAGCAGGGGGAAAACTGCCTGTGCAAAGGACAACAGGCCCACGGAGGCATGCAGCCCTGCAGAGTCAATGGCCTTACTCTGAGTTTTCAACACTCAAACCAAAGACCCCAGCACATTCAGAGGTCAATCGTTTTGTCCACTTTTGCTATTTAAGAGAGGTCCACATCCTGCCCCTCATCCCACTGAGCATTGCTTTAGCTCTGCCTTTGTCAAAGCTAGGAGAGAGTCACTCCATGAAAGCCCAGGTAAAGAGCGTCAGAGAGGCAATGGTCCTTGCATCCAACATGCTCCATGGGCCAGAACCCGTTTCACACTCTAGATACTCAGGCTGATGGTTTTGCTTTGCTAGCTCACAAGGACTTCTCTACAGTGCTAAAATACGGACCATGGGGGAGACAAAAACCTTCCACAGAAAGCAGCAGAATTAAATCTTCCAGGAACAGAAAGGCAGCCTTTCTTGCTTCCCTGACTTTCCCTTCTTTAATGCACAAGACCTGCGCATAGAAACCAATCCAAATTAAACTTGAAGCCCCTTGAAGTCAACCACCCCTTTTTAGGCTCATCCCCTGGATGGCTGGTGCTTTAGGTTCAAGACCGGGAATGTCGGTGCCCTGCGCTCAAGCCCATGCCATCCTACCTTAGCAGCGTGGCTCCCAGGCCCTTGTAGAGCCCCGCGATGCCTTTGCTCCGCAGCAGCTCTCTCGTTATCTGTGTTGCTGTTGTGCGCGTTTCCACCGCTGGCTCTGCCGCCCCGGCTGCTGAGGAAGAGGAGAGCTGGGCCTGCGCTGCCATCAGCTTCTTCTGTGCCGCTGGGGAGGAGCAGAGAGTGCACCGGTCAGCAACATGGTCAACAGCAGCCTCCTGCTGCCTGGTGCCACAGGACAAGGAGAAAGAGGCAGATCTCCAGGTGCATCAAAACACACCGACGGAGGGCAGTCAAGTGCCTTGCAAGCTTTTGCTCCCAGTCTGCCCATCTCCCTGAGCCTGAGACAACCCAGCTCATCCCGCTCTCGGAGCTGGCTGCTGCCGCACCACAACACTGCCTGCTGCACTCTCCTAACGACTGGTTTTACCCACGCAGGAGCAGCCTGTCGTGCACAGCCTCTGCGGTGCAGAGAAAAGGTGCTGCCGTGAGCAGGCAGATGACAGTACCTGCTTCCAGCCACGTCTCCGAGCCCCCGGTAGGACAAACTAAAGATATTCATAAACGAGAGAGGTTCAACAGTTCTGTTCTTTGGCTCCTTCCCTTGAAAGCAATCATTAATCTGGGGAGTTCCTCAGCCACGTTTATAAACGCAACCTGGTTTCTCCCAGCCTTTCCAAACGAGGCATTTCTGCTCTTTGGCCAGAAGATGGAGAGCAGCACACCAACCTGTTCTGCAATCCTCTGGCTGCCACACGAGAGAATAGGCTGTTCACAGCACTGAAAACCTCTTCTGAACCCTCAAACCATGGCTTAATTCTTTCAAACATTTTAAAATAATATGCGCAAAGAGGATAAGGTCTGCATTAAAAACAGCAAAGAGAGGAAAGACAAAGTAAATCCGTGATTATTCAGGAGTGCCGCATCAAAGGAGAGATTAAAGGACAACATGGCTAATTTTCCAGGAAGAGCCATAAACGTGGTATCTAATGGTGTCATGCAGGTCTCCCAGGGAATGAGACCATACCCTAGGCTGACCTCTGGAAGAGATTAAGGTGATAGCAAACAGCTCTTTCCCCCAGGCTCCACGCTAGGCTTCAGTCTCCGTTCTCACCAGAAACACCCCACAGTGTTTCAGCAAAAAGGCTCACACTCCCTCCTGCCTCTGCCTGCCAGCTCCTACCCACAGCTCCGAAAGCCCGATCCCAAACCTCTTCTAAATCCAGCACACCAGGAGAATTTTATTTACTGTTTCAACCAAGACACCTGCTGCTTTTGTCAGGAGGAAAAAAAGAGAGCAAGAGGGGAGACAATTCATTTGGAAAGGACACATCCCCTTGGGAAGCTGTTAGAGAGGTTACAGGGGGTAGAAGGGAGAGAATAGACATCAGAAAACATGGAGATGGAAGAAACATCACAGGAAAAGCACAGGAGGATGCTAATCCCTTCCTGGGTGCAGAATAACTAACAAGTTTTAATCACTCACAGGCTGACCACTCAGTCATCTCTCCATCCACCAGCAGCATTTGCTGTTTCGCTTACCAAGCCTATTGCTTTGAGCAAAAAAAATCAAGACCTTTTGTAACTGCAAAGGCCTCTGCAAAGCCAGGTGAGCAAAGGGTGGGGGGAAATGGGCTGGGAAGAGGAGGTAAAACTTCTGCCACAGCCTGAGATACCTCTGACTTGGGAGAGCAGGGGGAAGCAAAGGGGTTTTCTCCGCTCATTCCTTCCCCTTCTGCCTTGACAGCCCAGTCCCAGCCCATTCCCTGCTGCCTGCTCAGCGCACAGGGAGGAGAAGCCCACATACCAATTCGCCCTGCATCCTGCAGCTGGATTTTGAGCATCTCCATGGGAGTGGTGACAATCACCTGGCAGGTACCCGCACCGCAGCCCGCCAGCATCTCCTTCAGCAGCGTCAGCTTCTTCCTGCCCAAAGAAAAGAGAGAAAGAGTCAGTCGGAGGAGGTGGCCTGCAGTAACACCAGGGCAGCCGGGTGCAGGGGCACACCTCTGACCCTGGGGGTTTCAGGAGAGGCAGACCAGGGAATGAGGGAACCTGCTAGGCTTGACAGTTCAGCATAGCCCAGGCTTGGTATCTCCACTGGCATCACCTGATCTGGAGGAAAAGACCCATTTTGGCCCGAAATAGGACATTCAGAAAAAGGCACAAGCCCCAGATGGGAGCACACAACCCTCTCCATCCCCAGAGAGCTGCAGCTCTCTTGCAGCCCAGCATTGCCTCAGGTCAGGGGTATCGCTTCAGAGGGCAGCAGAGGACCTGAGCATTAAGGGGGATAAGCAGTTTTCCTTCTGCCAGCCTACTCCTTTAAACACTATCAAAATCCCTATAAACAAACAAACAGAGACCACAGAGCAGGGAAAATATTTGAGCTGCTGCTTTGGAGTTCTCTGACAAAAGCAAAATAAATGAACAGCGAACAGGAGAGTCAGGAAGGCAGTTCCTTCTTCACCTCACCAGCCTTTCCAAACCTGAAAATGTCACCTTTACACTAAACTGGTCCTGCCTGCAGGACAAGGGATGGTGGGACCCCCAGCACTGCAGCTTTGTGCATCCTCTGCACTAGAGAGCAGGGATGATCAGTGACATGTTCTTGCCTAACAAAATCACAGAATGTTAGGGATTGGAAGGGACCTCAAAGGATCATCTAGTGCAATCCCCCTGCTGGAGCAGGACCACCTAGATCACATCACACAAGAACACATCCAGGCGGGTTTTGAACATCTCCAGAGAAGGAGACTCCACAACCTCTCTGGGCAGCCTGTTCCAGTGTTCTGTTACCCTTACTGGGAAGAAGTTCTTCCTCATGTTTAAGCGGAACCTCCTGTGTTCCAGCTTATATCCATTTCCCCTTGTCCTATCATTGGATGCCACTAAGAAGAGCAGCATTTCATAGCTCCCTCCATCCCAAAGCCATGAAACAGCCCAGCTAAGACTAAAAAGAGAAACTGAGGATGTAAATGCTCAGAAAGCCTCAATTTGCAGAAACTGATGAGTTTTTGCCATGTAGAAAAAAAATCTCACCCTTTGGCACCAGAGAACACTGACTTGATTAAAAAAAAAAGTGCCTCTGATGTGCTCTTTTCTAAAAGGGAGGAAAAAACCACATATATAAATCACACAGGCAGAGGGAAACAACCTCCTCTTTTTTCCGTTTTAAATGCAAGTACTGTTTTTACTCCCCCAGCCCTGCTCCTGCAGCAATACCTCAGCTTAGCTTACTCAAGGCGAGTCCCCACACTATGGCAAACGCAGTCCCACAACGGTACACCCTCTTCCCTTGCAAAACCAAGCCACACTCCCGTACCGAGGATTTCACTCGCGCGCACACACGGCACAGCTGTGGCTCTGCGGGCCCAGGGGACTGCTTTTGCCAATACCCTCTCTGGAGAAATTGAGAGGTGGAAAAATCAGCCTGGCTGATGTGGTGGGTTGGCACTGAAACTTCTTTGCTGGCCTGCAGTGCCACAGCTGTGCAGATGAAACCCTCAATAAGGGTGCACGGCTTGGTTTTGCAAGGGAATGGGGTATATTTTTGTGAGACTGGGGAAAGGGAGGAGAAACGTGCCATAATCCTGCTGGCCCACCACGTCAGCTGGGCCGATTTCTCCACCTCTCATCTTCTCCAGGGAGGATATCAGGGCAGAGGATTAGAGGCACAGAGCCACAACGGAGATTACCAGCGACTAAATATAGAGCTCTCCTACAAGGCTGAAGGGAGGAATGTTTCACAGTCTCTCCTTTCCAAATTCCCCCATACATGAGAAGCTGCAAAGAACAACCTTATCCATGGAGTTACCCACATGGGCACCAAAGTGTGCGCAACAAGCTTTCCTGAAGGGATGCAGGTATCAGGGCATGCGGATCCAGAGGTCCCCCCAACACTGACACCTGGAAGTGGCCAACTTGTGCCTCTTCGGCAGCCTGGAGCACAGCTCCAGTGTCTGCCACGGCTCGATTCGGTCAGCAGCAATGCTGCACCACCCCCAGCCCAGCCGTGGGAGGAAGCAAACCACCCAAAGTAGCTGGCTGTCAGTCCCCCTCTACGGCACTGCAGAGTATCTCCCATTTTAGCATGAGCCCTGAAGCATCCCTGGAGTACATGTCTCCTGGCTTTCATCCAGGGCGACTGCTTTGACACCCCATTCAAAAGAACAGGAAGATTTGCCCTATGTGTTCATCTGTAAACCATTATCCCAGCCAATCAAAGTCAGACGGGCTTGATTGAACTCCATGGAGCTATGCCAGTGTGATCCAGCACAGGATTTACGTGTGGGGGTGTATTTTAGAGATGTCAAACAGGTACATCAAAAGTATCTAGAACAAGGACTTTCAGCTTTTGGTTTGCATATTCTGGGAACTGGGAGGAGTCTCAAGGAAAAAATAGCCTAAGAGAAGCAAATCTTTTGTCAGGAGGTTTAAAATTTGTCATACAGGGGTCAAACTTCCTTTGCAAAACCTCACCAGTCTGCACATAAAAGGAGTTTGAAAATGGTTCATCTCTAGATGACAAAGAAGTTCAAATATTTAAGGCACCACAGTGGTTTAAAAACTGGCACATCTCAACTAACTTCAAAAGCTGCAACACCAGGAAGGAACTGGTTCTACAAACACAGAAACCATCTTTCATCACAGCAAGACGGTGTTAAATATAATATATACACAATAGTCCCAAATGCTGCACTGGCAGAAGTCAGTCATTCCACTTTTTAAACTGACATGCAATCAATTAGTGACAAATCAACAATGTCAAATGGGAAGGGAAGAAGATTCATGCTCAATCTAAGCTAGAGTTTCAAACTAGAGCTGAAAAATAAGAAAGTAAAAAAAGCAGGAAGGAGAGGGTTATGGAGGGCTTTTCAAGAGTCAGTCCAAAGTTAGGACCTCTGAAAGCATTGGTATATTGATGTCACAAGGGAGCACAGCAGGATTTTTTTCAAGTTTCTGAAAAAATCTTGACGTGTAGGAGTTGACTGTGCTTGGGCAGGGACCAAAATCTGCCATTCTGGAGTAAGGATGACAAGATTTCCAAAGACAGGAAATCTTTGACCTAAGGAAACATCCATACAAAGTTGCATGTTTCTGTTTGCTACCCAAGAGGCTGCTGTCCCCAGCTTGGACATCACCTTCCTCACTCATAAAATACCCTCTGCCTCTGGTCTGTCAACTCAACAGATTGTAGAAAGCTCCCCAAGAGTTTCAAACCAGAGAGAGTCAACTGCTTTCACACAATTTAAATAGTGGGTGATATGGATTAGGGGACCAACACACAGGAGTTGTTCTTCAAAGGGAGGGCAACCTGTCTGCCACAGCCACATGGAGATGGTCACTCAAACTGCCAGTCAGTCCCTTTTACCCAACCCCTGATCTTCCGAGAGGAAACCACCAAGTTATTGCAACCGCACTTCAGAAAAGCTGGAGCTATGATGCTGGGAAACGTAAAAGCAAGAAAGTCCCCGTTACAAGCTCCCTCACACTTCTAGTGCCAGCTCAGAAATGCCTCAGACAAGCAAAACAAAGCACTGATGTGGGATGGATCCACCTCAAAGTAACACCACCAGATTAAACATCGCTCTGGCAGATGTTACTCCAGGTACAGTACAAACTATCGCTGGCCACAGGAGCTCTGTGTTGCATGTCTGGACTAAGTCAAGAGGAAGGTGACTCCGTGCCTGCACCATTGTGTGAGTTTTGGCTGGGATAGAATTAATTTTCTTAATAGTAGCTAGTGCAGGGCTGTGTTTTGGATATGTGCTGAAAACAGTGCTGATACGCAGAGATGTTTTAGCTATTGCTAAGCAGCACTTGCACAGCATCAAGGCCTTTCTGTGTCTCACCCCACCCCACCAGCAAGTAGGTTGGAGGTGCACAGGAAGCTGGGAGGGGACATGGCTGGGACAGCTGACCTCAACTGACCAAATGGATATTCCATATCATATGATGTCATGCCCAGCATGTGGAGCTAGGGGAAGAAAGAGGAAGGGGAGACGTTCAGATTGATGGCGTTTGTCTTCCCAAGTAGCTGTTACGCATGATGGAGCCCTGCTTTCCTGGAGATGGCTGAACATCAGCCTGCCAATGGGAAATAGGGAATGAATTCCTTGTTTTGTTCTGCTTGCGTGCATAGCTTTTGCTTTACCTGTTAAACTGTTTTTACCTCAACCCACAAGTTTTCTCAACTTTACCCTTCTGGTTCTCTTCCCCATCCCATTGGTGAAGAAGTGAGCGGCCGTGTGGTGCTTAATGCTGGCTGGGGTAATACCATGACAACCCATTACATCAGGTTTGCCCTGGCAGGAGATGCCAAGTGTTTTGTTCCAATACGAATGTCTGTGGAAGCGAACAACGTACAGGGCAACATGTCTGAGATGCTGAACACAGACACAACCCATGTTTCGTCGCAAGACACGGGCCTGGAACAGAGACAAGGGCAATGCTCCTCTCACGGGTGTATGCTGTGATTAAACAGCCCATCTCTAGTTCCCTCTAGGCCAACAGTTGAAACTGCATTTACTTTCTGGCTGACCTTTGATGTCCAAAGCTTCAACCCACTCTCCAGTGGCTGGGGGG